AACTCATGGCTTCATCCAGCCTTTTTGAACTCCATACAACACAACTTCCCCTGCCGTCCTTGGACCAGAAGGTGGCACACACATTTTCCGCTTTCCCTTCCGGCCTTTCTTTGCCGCAGTAATACAGTCCCCCAATAACTTGTCGATCTCCACTAGGGAATCGAAACATTCTTGTTCGTCGTACCCTGTCAGGGCTACGACTCGTGTAAGCTCAGCCGTGCTTTTCTTTCTCGTGGCAGGAGGCTTCAGTCGCTTTGAGTGTAACAGCTTTTGTGTGAGGTAGTGAAGCCACTGTTTTGGGTGAGCCTTTTATATACAAACAATGGGTATACAGCTCTTACCATGACATTTGTGAAGGGCTGATAGCCTTCCCAAGAGTTGCCATTATACTCTTTCATCATCCTGTAGACATCAAATTGGTAATCTCCTGCCGGTACCGATCAGCAAAACGTATATCCCAGGGGTGTGTAAGACACTGACCCTCCCCTTCGAAAATTTCTTCATCAAACGGTGTCCAGTACGTCTTGGAACCTTGAGCATCTGTGGTTTCCATTCTCGAAAGCCCAAGATCTATGACAGTCGCCTTGACGCCAAACCGAACGTCATCCATGCAGAGCTTTCTCCCTCCTTTTTTCGACGATAAAGTCCGAACAGGTACGTTCTTCACCAAGATCTGGCCCCAGTGTAAATCACGATGCTATTTTTCACGTCAGCCACGACATCATTTTTGGGAAAGAATCTCACTTCAAACGCCATAAGGTCTTCCGCTTGATCCAGAGCCGTGGCTATCTGCCAGAAGATACTGCATGCTTGGTGCCAGCCAGACCTTGCGGTATTTTTGAATGTGAATGCCTCAAGATCTGGGCCACCATTTGGCAGGACAATGATTGCGTAGACCTGGGAGAGGCCAAAAGAGTCTAACTGACAGTTATAACAATTGTGATTCTTCGTGTCCATATGTCACCTACCTGGTCTTATACTCTCAGAACCCTTGCGCTCGTTATATTCATCCCAAAGATCAAGAAGCAGCGAAGGATAGCGCCCACGGACGACATATGTCCTGAGAAGTTTGATAAAGCCACTGCTCATCTCTCCCATCGCTCGGGTGACAATAATTTCCTTCATAACATCACTCGCATCACTCGGTGCGGGAGTCTCCAAGTCGTTTGTGATACGTTGTTCCTCATCTCGCAAGGGGATGATCTTAAGAACTACGTCACCGATGCCGAAAACCTCGGAAAACGAGGCCTCGCCAATTTTCCGAAATTTGATATCCAGGTCATTTCCTTCCGCAGGCTGCACTATCGGATCGAATGGAAATGACTCTATAAAAGCAGAGAATTCATGCGGACAAGTCTGAGAGCACTCTGATAGGAGTGGAATTAGACACTCAGGTTGTGGGGGTAGCAAATTTTCGAATTCGGTCACGTCCGAGATGTTAAGTTGCTCCAGTTCGAGAGAAAGGTCTGCATCAGTGGGTGTGGAAGGTGTGGGGAAGAAGCGCTGGAACGGTGCTCGACTTTGTCCTCGGCGTATAGGTGTCAGCTGTCGTACTTTTGTTGTCGGCGGGGCGAGAGGCACGAACACTGGTTGTTGTTGTTGGATTAAAGGTGGAGGCGGCGGTAACAGTGATGAGGGTTCCTGGAGGACTGTAGGTAGCTTATGGGGAGAGGGTAGCTTATAAGGCGCAGGGGGGACCACGACCTCGAGAAATGAAGACTGTCGTGTGGAAAAGGTAGCTGTCGGCTCGATTTCGCATTTGTGTGGAGGTTCATCGTCATCAGAGGATACGACGATCACCGATCGCATGCGGCTAAGGCGTTTTTTCGCTACCACAGTTACCTCCTCCGCATCAGAGTCGCTGTCACTGATGGCGATGATTGCGGGTTTGTTGGCTGCCCCCCTGCCCCGGACCCTCGGAGCTGCCACAGTTACAGGATTTATCTGAACATCAGTCCGTGATACTCGCCGTTCCTGACTGAGCTTCTTGCCATCGTTATCGACCACAATGATATCAAGAGTCACGACTGGAGATGTAGGCTTCAGCGCAGCCCGTGGCGATGACTTGACTGGCGCTTTGCCCTTCTTCCCCACGAGTACTGAAGGTGGTGGAACCATAGGCGACGCACCGTTCGTGCGCAAAGGCGTAAGCGGCTGACGAACAGGCGTTTGCGCTTCGAATTTTGAAAGCACAGTCTTCTTTTTTGACTTGACTGTTGGCTTGACCTGAGCCTTCTTCTTGGGTGGGCCAAGCGGGGATTTGGTAGGTGAGATATGTGCCCGCTTGGATTTCCCGTGCACTCGATGGCGAGGAGAGGGAGATAAGTAGATAGCATTTTCTCTTTGAACTTGCCTAGAAGCTGCCAGGTTACGCACTGTCTTGACGGGTGAATCAAAGGCATCCGACTCATTCCTCTCAACGACATTCACAATCCGGTGACCACGACGCCCATAGGCAAAGACTTGCTTAGTTCTTGCACTAAGCATAATTATGGCAAGACGAACGATAAAGCTGAAAAATGTGATCCACAGGATGGTGAATAATGTGAGGTCTGAAGTGGTCCGAGGTGTAATGCAAGTGTAGTGAGCAAAGAAGCGCGTGTTCGACTTTTCGGTTCAGACGCGTCTTGGTCACGTGCACAAACGCGTCAAGAAAGCAACGCTGACTCGCGCTAATCAGTTGAGACGGATCTTATCCACTTCCTTCTGATGGCATTACCACAATCTTTGAGAACATCCGTGACTCCACTAGAGCTTGAGCTCATCGCCTCCGAGCAACTAGTGGAGATTGTCCCCTTGATCACAATGGAGAAAACAGCTTTCATTTCGGTACGCATTGAGGCGGATTTCCATAGCAATACCCACAAATGGTCGTACTCGTATAGGGCGCATATGGACCACTACGACCGCCGGCAAAATGTCGGATACCTCTTTGGATGGCTACTAATCTGAAGCTAAAGAAGAAATGTCATATCGTACCCCCGGAATGGCTCAGTGTAGGTTTGTATACAGCCTTTCCTTGCTAATTATGCGCTTACTGACGTACCATCTTCTAGAATTTTTGCAGGAACGGCTAACAAGAGAAACGAGTCGGCCGGAATTTAGCAAGCTGCCTTTCCGTTTTGCAGAGATAGCCAAGGTCATCCTTGACGTGTTGGTAACACTTTTGTTTATTTAGTGACAATATCTGACTTTCACCAAGTGCCTCAGATGATGTACAGAATGCAGATAAAATCAAGTCATTACTGAAAGATCTTCGCGAAGCTCGACAAGCTAAAAGTCGCGATGGTTTGCAAAAATTAGATCACAGCGAGCTCAGTGTACGCTCCACTTGGTTGTCACATCGCGTATTCCTTATTGTTATGCAGTTGCCAAACCTGTGTTCTATGGAAATCAACGAGATTCGACCTTTCTTCATACAATCTATGGGAATACTAACACAGCTTGTTAGAGAGCCTTCTGCTGAGTAGCACTTGGCTTCTTGCCCTCGGTCGCGGAAATGCACTGGTGTGTCTATTTATCTGACCTCTGTGGTTTGTCCAGTATCTTAACTGAATATTTTCAATCTCGAATGCCGAAGCCTGCATTTCATTAACTCTGCGAGAGTGCACTTCAAGAGAGGATTTATTAGGACTATTTACTGATGCTGCAAGACCAAAGCGGTAGAGGACAGGTGCCACAGGTCGCTGCAAGGCAATGTCATACTGCTAGTCTAGAGTTCGATGTACGTGACGCATCGCTGAACAGTGCACTCATCATATGAGAAGATGACAATGCAACGTACATGGGATCAATCAAGCTTATTTCTTCTCGCTGTTAATGTTGCACTTCCACTATCAACGGTGACTCTCGTGGGAACTTGCGATGCCCGCCGTGGTGGCGAACCAAGGCTAAATCGATTGGGAGGCAATACACCAGTCCCGGTAACAGCATGGACTCCTCCAGGCGTATGAAGAGGTACGTGGTAAACTGTTGGTGACGAAGGTGCAGGCGAGCTTTCCTGGCGTGTGTGATTGGGAGTATGCGGCGCTATCAGCCCATCCGTTGCTTCACGCCTGAACGCCTTGGGAAGAAACGGAATGAAACCGAACATCGCCTTGAATAGAGACGAGTTTGAATGAGGCCCCAACGTTCGTAAGGTAGCGGTCGGCGTGCTGGGTATGCCTAGGTTTACAACCAGATCTGAGTGCATGGTGTCAACGAAGCATAAGGGGTTGCTTACCAGATGATGTAGGCAGGGCATGATCATTCGCACTCAAACTCAAGAAGAGGAAGAGCGGGACGAGCCAAACGCAGACCCCAAAGAAAGTTGCAATGTCCGAAAATCCAGGTACTGTAGAATGCATCGGAGTACGATATAGATATGACACCTGCCTTGCCTCCCGTGTGAGATGTGAGAAGTAGAAGAACCAAATGAAGTGATCCGAGATTGCAAGAATACAGGATGCAATGAAGGACAAGGATGAGAGCGAGATAAGTGGCCAGGTGCTGGAGAAGTTCTGCAAGTAGACGACATGGCAGACTATAGAGAAGAGCGTTCGTGCTAAGGGAAGGGAATCTGAAATGTAGAGTGCAATGTGCAGCACTATTATTGCCTTCTCTTCACGTAAGATAGTTGCCTTGGTTTAGAAAATGAGTTCACGAACATATGTCCCCCGCTGTCCAATGATCTTGGCAAGACGTGAATGCTCCTCTATTAGCTCGGAGATGTACAACAGACCGCTAGCTAGAACTCTAGGTAAAAAATGGCATAAAGGTAACGAAAAGTGTCACGAACCAAGTGAAAGTGTCATGAATGCAAGAGCAGCGACCATAGCAGCATAACTGTATGAAAGTGGCCATTCAATTAAAACTATTCGATATTTCAAGACGAACCATACCTGAAATAATGCAATAGTGACATGCCGCGAGGTTTCGCTTGGGAGGGACCACTGGCAGGTGACAGTCTATTAGGTCTGTGTAAAACTGTTGATCACCTGGGTTCCGCTGAAGCTAAGTGCACGTGGCCAACAAAGGTTACAGCAAACGCTTACTCCACAGCCACACATAGCCCGCATCTTCCACTTTGACTTGTAGCATCTCTTTTGAACGATCTTCCCTATTATCAACACCGTATCATTTGACTAATTGAACATGAGCAATATGGAAAGTGAGCAGCCCGTGTAATAGCGAGGTCACGAGAAATCCGTTGACACTTTGCAGAGACGCTATTTCAGCTGAAGGTACTTATCATTATGTCCGACAAGAATCCTCTTTAGATCCTCTCCCTTAGTTTACCGCCAAGACCCTTAATCGTCAAGCAAAGAAAGCGCAAAAGGATGAAAATACGGAAAAGGCTCGTCTCAAGAAGGTTCATTCCCACTGTCGTTCTGGATCAAACGCACAGCAATCTAATGGGTGACTTCAGGCGTTGCAGCAGAGAAATACTGATGGCGCGCGGATCTATGCTTCGAATGCCATTCGCAAGAAATCCGAGGCTCTGAACTTGTTGCGACTATCTAGCCGGTTAGACGCTGTTGCCAGTCGGGTGGAGACTGCCGTCACAATGAGACAGGTTACTGGAAACATGACCTCCGTGGTCAAGGGCATGGACAAAGCAATGGATAGCATGAATCTTGAACGGGTGAGTAAAGGATCTATCCTTCGCTACTCCATATTATGACCTCTTTCGAATGATGTCATAGATTTCGCTTGTGATGGACAAGTTCGAATCACAATTCTCCGACCTAGATGTCCAGACGTCTTACATGGAGGACGCAATATCAAGCACAACGGCTGTATCAACTCCGCAAGATCAAGTAGACTCTCTCATGCGGCAGATGGCAGAAGAAGCCAACATAGAATTGCAGCATGATCTCGCGTCGAAAGACCTGTCTGGTGTTCCATCTCTGGCTACGAAAGAGAGCATTGGTGAGGAAGACGGTAAACTAGCAGAGAGACTGAGAGCTCTGAGACCGGCGGCGTAATGATTTAATTTATTCATTGCAGGTAGATAGAGGTATTCAATCTCGTGGATTTTTGTATATCGTAGTACGGATTGTACATCATATTCATTACTCTTATTCTTAAACTTTGTTCACTGCACTCTTACCTAAGTTCTGTACCACCGCTAACGGTTGTTTGGATTGAAGGCTTTTGCCAAACAAACACGCCCGAGTTGGGCTTGGAAGTTCGGACACTTATTTGGAGTCTGGACTTCATATGCCAGGGCCGACCAATCAGATCCACACAGATACCAGAACGCCAGGATAGTGTCTTATTAGTACCAATACAACAGACAGACAAGCAGCACTACGGGCATTGCAACACGATTGTCTCGGTCTATTACCTTGAAGTTTCTTCCCAGCCTGCGGCCACCTGATGCTATGCATCTCTACTTAGGTCACAACCCTCGTACACTCTACCTGGTAACTGGATCGCATGACGAGCGGAAAGGACGACCGCAACGAGCTCTCGTATTTCGTGCTGTAGAAGCCAATCCAGCACAGGTGATCGTCGAGTTCCTGCCGAAGGATGAGGTCAATCTGACCAGCGCTGTGAGACTGACCAGCCGCATCATTAAAGGCTGTCTTGGTCTTATCTCTGTCGAAAATGGTATGCTGATTTGCATGTATAGCTGGTTCAACTTCATCGTTATCACTTATAGATACTTTCCTCGCGGTGGTGTCCTCTGCGACGGAGGTTGGAAACACCCGCCCCTCCGACTCTCAACCTGAATCCGTAGCGAAGATTCACGAAGTCTTGTTTTACTGCCTCACTTCCCACTCATGGGATGATTTTTCTGCCTCCCAAGATACGCTTCTTAATCCAGAAAACGCCGATGCACTCATGACAAGAGAGCAGCAGCACTATTCTCAGTCTACCACACCTCCTGTGTTTGAGCATCCGTGCATGCCGCTCACCAAAATTCTTTCATCTGGTTCATTCTACTATGCTCTCGATCCTGCATGGGATCTCTCATCTCGGCTTCCCGTTCGTCTGGCGAGAGATCGATCCAATGCACATGATATCGGTATATTTGATGAACGCTTCGTCTGGAATGAATATATTGTCCGCAGTTTGCTTAATTTCAGAGAGAGACTGGATCCCCTTGAAAGGGAGGAACTTGACAAGTGTCAATTTATCGTGCGCTTGTGCTCGTTTTTTTCCTTTTGAAGATTATATGTAACATGGCGAATAGATATTAGCCATACAAGGCTACGTGGGAGTCTTTACCATGGCTTTGCCTGCGCCGCCGGTCAACGGGGCACCCATTATTGCGACATTGTCATTGATTTCTCGCCTTGGATGGAGACGAGCTGGCACTCGTTTCAATACTCGGGGTGTAGATGATGACGGGAACACTGCTAATTTTGTTGAGGTAGGTAATGAAACACCGAGTATAAAGTCAATGCCTGATTTGCATTCGACAGACTGAAACTATCCTCACAACTGATCAACATTGCGTGAGCTATACCCAAGTCCGAGGAAGTGTCCCATGTGCGTTTTCGCAGCAGGGGATTTGCACACCAGCTGTTGAAACCCTTTGAATTACAGTATTTTGGGAACAACAAGGGCTCCAGACCTTTGGCCAGCGCATTCAAATTACACGGCCGCACGCCTCTCAACCTGCATTTGAGCGCCACTTTGCGCATTTGATGGAGGAGTATGGCGCCACTCATGCCATCAACCTTTTGGGTTCCAAAGAGAACGAGGCCATCTTGACTTCTGCATATGCAAAGCACCTGCAGATTGCAAGAGGCATCTGGGGTGACGAGCTCAGTATTACTCACTACGATTTCCACAATGCCGTGAGGATAGGTGGTCATGATAGTGTAATGAGGGATGTCTGGTACGTCATGGTCTCTCAAGAGATGGTCAGTTCATCATGGTGAGACACAGCCGTTTGGAAGGCGTTAATAACAACATGGAACGTTACGGGTTCACCATGTGTGATGCCAGCACCGATAGTCTGATCACGGAACAAAAGGGCGTATTCAGGACGAACTGCCTTGATTGGTGAGTCGAGCACCTCATATCAGAGTCTTTGTGTTAAATGAGACATAGTTTGGACCGAACAAACTTTGTGCAAGATATCTTCTCTCGTAAAGCCTTGGAACAATACCTCAGTCTCGTGCATCTTGAATGGTTACAGGCTGGTGCGCTCTGGACGCACCATCGCGAGTTATGGGCAGAAAACGGAGACGCTCTCTCTCGTATCTATGCTGGTACTGGCGCCCTGAACACGAGCGTCACTCGGACTGGGAAGAGAACGTTGGCAGGTCAGATACATGTCATCAAAATATTGTGACATTTCTGATGTACTTTGAAGGTGTTTTGTCCGATGCAACAAAGAGTGTGTCGAGAGCATATATCAATAATTTTCAAGATAAAGGAAAGCAAATTGCCATTGATATGTTTCTTGTGAGTGTCTTCCTTCGATCTTCTGTCTGAGTCACAAATACTTTTAATCAGGGCAATATGAATAACCAACGTCAGGTCAATATTTTTGACCCAATACATGACTCAGTCGGAAAGGCCCTGCAGCAGCGGTGAGTGGAATTGGCATGTAGGATGATCTCACTGCCAATGCTGTCATAAGCTTGTCCGAGTACTCGACTACCCAGTCGTGCAGTATATTCACAGGAACGTGGAATGTCAATGGCCGGGTAAGGCGGATTATGCGTATTCTTGCCACTGTTTACCAGTTCTCCTCCGCGCAGCTGCCGTCGTCAGAAAGTCTGCTGCCGTGGCTCTTCCCGCGGGACAGTAAGTCTGGTTCCTCACGCTGAATCGCATTTTAATCACATTGTCTTTTAAACAGATTTTATAGAGTATATAAACCTAGTTGTATTCAATGGCGTAACTGACAAGTTTGTAGACCCGATCTTTTTATTCTTGGCTTCCAAGAAATTGTTCAACTTACCGCACAGCAGATTGTGCAACCAGATCCAGAAAAGAAGTAGGCAATATTCTGCTATACGAGGAGTATACATCCTGACATTATCATTAGGCGTATATGGGAACAGAAGGTCATGGAAACCCTTGAACGTCGACCTCAAAGAACGTGTGATTATGTGCTCCTCCGCAGTGAACAAGTGATACACGACCATGCTTAGGTGAAGTAATACTGAACGCCATCATTGCAGCTTGTCGGGACTGCAATTCTTGTCATAGTTCGCTCAGATCTAACAGCTGTTATACGGAATGTCGAAGGAGCAGCTCGAAAGGTGGGCCTTGACTACATAATTTGAGGTCCTGGCTTGAACATTATATCAGACGGGTCTGCGGGGCATGTCCGGAAACAAAGGTGGTGTTGGAGTCCGATTGGACTATCACGATACTAGCTTCTGCTTCCTGACTGCTCACCTTGCCGCCGGGCATAGCAACATCGAAGAGCGGAATGCGGACTTCCACACAATTGTGAAAGGTTTGCACTTTCAAAAAGGAAAGACGTTGTCCAGCCATGAGTAAGCTTGATTCTTGGGAATGTAGAGCTTGACACGTATAAGCCCCCCAACAGAAATATCATATGGCTCGCAGACACGAATTACAGGATAGACCTTGACAACGAAAGCGTCCGAGCCCGATCAGGGGCCGATGATTTTGATTCTTTGGTAGCAGCAGATCAGGTGTGTTCGACGGCTAATAAACAATTGCTTGCCCTAGATTAATCCTACGACAGTTGAGACAGGCAATCGACAACGGGGACGCATTTGCTGGATATGAGGAAGGACCCATGTTGTTCCGTCCCACTTATAAGTACGACCTGGGCACCGACAACTATGATACCAGTGAGAAGATGCGCATTCCAGCTTGGACTGGTAGGCGTTCTGACGTTCAGAGGGTGCACTCACGTGAATTACACATCTCGCAGACAGGATTTTGTTCAAAGGCCGATTCGATCTCGCAGTATACTCCCGGGCTGAGCTGAAAGGCTCGGACCACCGTCCAGGCAAGCTCTTTTGTGGCTGTAATCTTCACGTGCCACTGATTGCTGGCACCAAGTCTTTGCGCTTTTTAGAAGTGAGGTGCGAATCATAGATGTCGCAAAGAGGGCCGCGTTATCTCGGCTGCTCCTGGAAAACACGCTGTCAGCTACTCCAGGCGAGAAACTTGATGAAAAACTTGCGTCTTTGGTACTTCCCGATGACTATTCTGAATGTCTGTGTTGTATTAGCTTAGATATGCGCGAAGCTCATATTTTACCAGTGCCCCCGCCCAGCACCGATGATGATGCATGGTGGAACAGACCTGGTAAGCATGTAGCAACATCAGCACACATGCTCTAACACATCTTCAGAACATCCAAAAGGCATCTTTCCCATCTCGGTAGCTCACCTATCGGAATCAAATGCAGCCAACCCTTTTGACTCGCCGGAGGAATCTCCTTTTTCATCCTCGCCATCGTCCTCTGACGAAGAATTATATTCACATGCAATGGGATTGCAATCTCCGATCACACCTGTTCGCAAACCTCCTCCTCCACCTCCCCCACGCTCACGGTATACCGATGTATGATACAGAGCTTAGATTGATTATATGGTTGGCATCGTCATATAGGTCAACAATAAAGTAATGAATGGAAGAAGTACAAGACTGCGGCATGGACATATCAAATCAGACCTTGCTTTTTCAGGTCCTCGTAAGTCTTCCTATTGTAAACATTGCCCTCGTCGTCCTCAAGTTCTTCCATTGTTTCCTGCTCGAAGATCTCATGTCGTCCCTCTTGCTTCAACTTTTCTGCCACTAAATAAAATTTCAACGGACATTCTCTTTGAAAATGAAAGCACTTACGTGAGAGGGCATCTTCAATGCGAGTGATTTCGTGGAAATGTTTGGTGTTCGGTAAGCCCAAAGCTCGCATGCCAAAAGCGTGCCGTGATTCCTTCATAATCAGTGATTAGCCTACCACTATCAAATCAGAGCAAGGCAGCATACTTGGAAGTGCCGGTCAAAATTTTTCCTGTTGCAGGGTTGTAAGCTTTCATACGCTATATTGGAAATCAGAAGCTACTACCTTCCCATGTACACGTGGTCAGAGCATATCTCGCAGCGATATTCTACTCCAAGGCCGTGAAGCTTGTAAAGCCAGTATGGAATTGGCTTGCCATCCCAGCCAAGC